TTCTCAATGTCAAGGACCTAGAGAAAAGGTAGATCTTCAGAGATACTAGGATTCAGAAGGCTGGCCTGAGGTACAGACAAATTTTTATCAGAACACAGGTTCTAGATCTAGACATCTAGAGGACAGCGGTTGTCTAGATATGGATTCCAGGTGGCATGTGCTAAGCTGGCACCTGCTACATAGAGGTAAGTGGAGAGATGGATGAGACAGGGTCTGAAAGCCTGGGAAAGCAGGTACCCTGCTATGTCAGATTAACTTCATTCAAGTACTCATGCTTATTTTCCTCTAATAAAGTACAGTGTGATTGTTTGATCCTTGTGTTCTTGTATACTATTAGGAGGTATAGAGAGGTATTTGGATTCATCTTTGGGCCAGACTATTAAAGAATGAGCATCAGGTATTGGGGGTAAGCACTGAGAACTCACAGAAGGAAGGAGAATATGAAGAGTCAAGAGCTGGTGCTTGAGGCACTCTCCACCCTAATGAATAATTCTCCCACCAGGTCTCTCGGTGATGCTGGAATTTATCATTATTAGGGAATTACCTTAATAAGGATTATCATTTGTAATCAATGGAACATACAATAATCCTTCCCAAAAGCATGGAAAGAAGTCCAGCTCAAATTCTATTTTTGGGAAGCCAATGTAATGATTCCATCTCCTATAGGAGAAGTTAACTAGTGGATCAATTCTGAGCTCAGTTCCATCTGGACTGAAGAGGGTTTTGTACACTGGTTATTAGTGACCCACCTGAGGGAATTAAGGCTATGCTTAAATTGGCAGCTGATAATAATCTTGAGATAAAATTGGCAACAACCTGGGAAAAACAGAGAATTGGCCCATAAAAAAAAAAGAATGAGAAGAAAAAGAAATCACAAGAGGGTACAGGGCAGGATACTGGCAAGAGTCACTTTGAAAAGCTGAGTGTGCCAAAAAAGCAGACTTCAAGAAAAGTTGTTGAAAGTAGACAACTGAATGTCTGGAAATCTCTTCTGGACAGTGAAGTAGTTAAAGGAAGAGCTGAAGTGTACACCAATAGATGAGAGACCATGAAACAGCTAAAACACAAGACAGTTGTTCAAACAAGAATCTAATGGGCTGTCTATAAGTGACCCAATGCACTTTGTTTCCTTTTAATCTATTATAGAAGAAACAAAAATAGTCCCATGACCCTGAGAAACAAAATCCTAAATGAAAGTTGTACTTGATGAAAGTTACCCAAGGTGATGGCTGCGTATTCTGCTACCTGAACTGCCCAAAGCCTACCAGTCCATGGCACAAGTGAGACTGCAGCAGCACTGATATAAAATGTGCACAGCAAATATCCTCCCACCTACAAAACTGCCTCAAACTTTCGAAGATTTCCTGAAGTCCTCATACAAAGGCGCCAATCCTTTACTGTGCTTCACAGTTGGTCTTCATTGGTATCTGCTGCCCCAAGAAAACCCTGACATTCTCCTAAGGTTTCTTTCTAAACTGCCAAACCTTATGTTGCAAGAACTTCTGAAGGCCTTTCAGATCTCCTGCGTCAGAACCACACGCATTTTAGCACAGAACTGGAGAAATGTCCATTAAACTTGGAAATATTCCTTTTTGGGTGGGGCCTTCTAATGAGCTGACACTGAGATGAGGAGTACTTCTTTGTTCACGTAATTATAAAGAGAATGCATTACTTTTACAAGCAGCAAAACAACAAAGACACATTTCCATTTTGAAAAAAAGAAATAAGAATATTGACTTGGGTTTCCTAAGACTGCCTGTTATTTTACTCACATTTAAGCTTGAAGACTCTCTCCCTGGTCTCCACCTTGTAGCATTTCCTAGATCAGTGCAAGTACACCAGCCAAGGAGTGGCTCGCGTTAGACATGTCAGCTTTGATATATACTTTCCTTCAATCTTCAGAACTAATCTATATCCAAGATTAATCCTAGCCAAGTCCTAGCAAACGCACTTCCAAAATACTTCTCAAATGGCCTGGATCTCTCCCTTTGCACCACTTCTTCCCTAACCCAAGCTACCTTCATCTTGCCCAGATTACTGCGACTATCTCTTAGTCCACTCTACTGTGGACCCCTCTCCAATCCCTTCTCAACCCAGCAGCCAGAATGATGTTTTCAAAGTGCAAATCTGAAGATGTCATTTTCTATCTTAGCCTCCCAGGGCTTTTAGCATAAAAACCACAATCTTTCGTTTGGCCTTCAAGGCTCTTTCTAGTTTAGCTTCTATTTCTCTAGATACTTCCAGTACATTCTCAGCCATATAACCACACTGGCCTTAGTTCCTCCAAATGGCTACCCTTTTTCTCACTACAGAACTCCTATCTACACATGCTGTTTGCTCTCTCTGACGCCCACATCACTTCCCATTTCATCTAGTTAACTCCTACATGTCAGCTCCCCCGTCACTTCTTTAGGGAAGCCATCTCTGAGCCCCAAGACTAGGTCAAATGCTATTACTGCATTTGTTCACAGCACTGTGAACCTTTCCTTCAAAGTATTTATTAAAGTTATAATTTTATGTTGGTATGTTCATTACTTTAATTCTCATCTCTGCCACTAGGGCATAAACTCCATCTGGGCAAGGACCATGTACTCCTTTGTAATTCCAGCACAAGCCCAGTGTCCAGGCACATAGGAGGCGTTCAATAAATATCTATTGAATGAATGTTAACTTCCTGAATGGCCAAGCAGTTCTTTTCCTACAAGTGGCCCTAAAGTTAATAATTTCAGGGTACATCTGATATCTGGTTTTCCAAATTTTAAGGAAGAAATCTCCGAACACACTACTGATATCTTGAAGGATTTTTTAAGGTTTATCTCTTCCATCAAACAAGTAATGCTATGCTGACCTCTTTGGAAGTGGTGGGAGGCAATATTAAAAGCCCAGGTGAACTTACCCCTATGGTAGACGCCATGTAGTCTGCACACATTTCTGCAAAGTCTCGCTCAAGAACCCCATAGTAGAGGCCATAGAAGAGGAGAGAAATACCAAAGTCCATGGCATCTTCTGGTTTGATCCTGTAAGGGAAGCAGCATGGCTTGTAAGGCCTGCCCTAAGACACAACTGCTTTGGATCACTACTCCAGAACACATAGTGAGGCACCTAAAGTCAGAAGCTTTAAAGGCTAAAGCAAGTGTTGGCAAAACAAGACCAATTCCAGCCTGCTGCCTGTGTTTTATATGGCCTGTTGGTACCGTTTGAACAGGTTAGCACCGTGAGCTACAAAACCAAGCCAGGGTATGGCCTATTGCTCCTCTTCCCCACTCCGTCCCCAGTGCCTACCTCCTCCAACTGGCAACCACACCTTGTAGCTGTCTAGGGCCCACTCTGGTTGGCACCTAAGTGTTGAGACTCCACTGCTGGAAATCACTGTACACCAACCAGCAGAATTTCAGTTTGCAAGTGGAAACTCACCAAGTTGCCTCACCTCCAGCCAGCTGCCCAAGTTGAAATGGCTGGGCAAGGGCACACCAGGATCTGAGCTGTCACTGAACAGTAAGTGAAAATAATCCCAGTGGTCACATAAACCCTTGTCAGACTCCTCCTGAGAATGTCTCATTTGATGGCAAGTGGGCACAAAGTATGCCCCAGATCTGGGAGAGCCTATCCATCAAACAAGGTAGGGCAAGGGAAGAGTTTCCCCTCTTGTTATACTCTATATCATCCTAGACTTTGCCTTTTGTCCACAAAGCCTAAATATTATTTGGCCCTTTACAGAAAAAGTTCACCAACCACAGCTTTAGAAGATAAATATAAATTTAGTAAATATAAATTTAGTAAATATAAATTTAGTAACATACCAGTTACTATAAAATTTTAAGTTGTATCTATACATATTCTATATCATGTCATCAAAGTTAAATTTTGGTTCAAGAGGCGCCTGGGTGCTCAGGCAGTTAAGCGGCTGGCTCTTGATTTCAGCTCAGGTCATGATCTCAGGGTCCTGGAATTGAGCCCCACATGGGGCTCCCTTCTCAGCAGGGAATCTACCTCTCCCTCTCCCTCCCACTCATGCTTATGCTCTCTTAAATAAATAAATAAAATCTTTTTAAAAATTGGGGGTCCAAGTCTATTCACTAAGGACAGAGATCTTGCCTATACATCAGCAGGCTTGTTTTAATAATTCCAAGGACCAATAATTTGCTACCTTCAGTCTCTGAATGTTTATTACAGAAAACAACCTTTGCTAAAAATCTGTACCAGGAACTGTTTAAGTTCACTTAAAGTTGTAACTTATATTTATCTTAAAAAGTTGAGTTTATTATCAATCTTGTAATATTTAACCCACTAGACATCATGATCTTATACCAATTAACCTGATTAGTAGCATAAAAATGGTCAAGATTCTCAATTCTGTTTTTCTTGTATAGTTTTTTTCTTGTATAGTTTATGTAAGTAAAAACAAACTATAATTACAGAATAACTATCTTCAATACAATGTAGCATCTTTTTTTCTTCCTTTTTCTTTTTTTAAAATAGGCTCCGTGCTGGGTACTACAGGGCCTGAACTCATGACTGTGAGATCAAGACCTGAGCTGAGGGACGTCTGGGTGGCTTACCAGTTGAGCATCTGTCTGCCTTTGGCTCAGGGCATGATCCCAGGCTCCAGGGATCAAGTCCCGCATCAGGCTCCCTATGAGGAGCCTGTTTGTTTCTCCCCCTGTCTATGTCTCTGCCTCTCTGTGTGCCTCATGAATAAATAAAATCTTAAAAAAAAGGAAAGAAAGAAAGGAAAGAAAGGGAAATAAAAGAAAGAAAAGAAAAGAAAAGAGAAAAGAAAAGAAAAGAAAAGAAAAGAAAAGAAAAAAGAAAAGAACTGAGCTAATATTGAGAGATGCTTAACCGACTGAACTACCCAGGCACCCTACAATGCAGAAATCTTTTTAACCACACAGATTAGGAAGATATCTGGAAATATCTTGGTTTTCTTTGATGGGGCTTGTTGGACTCTACACTGATGAATTCCAATAAACCTCTGTGAAACCTGTTTATGCTTTTAGCCTATGCTACTTCTAGAAGAAAGAATTCCATGGGTATTCTCTCACTTTATAAAGTAAGGACTTACTCTTTTGTTTTTTTTTTTTTAAGATGTTATTTATTTATTCATGAAAGACACAGAGACAGAGAGAGAGGCAGAGACACAGGCAGAGGGAGAAGCAGGCTCCACACAGGGAGCCTGATTAGGGACTCAATCCCGGGTCTCCATGATCATGACCTGAGCTGAAGACGGCGATAAACCGCTGAACCACCCGGGCTGCCCACTCCTTTCAGTTTCAAAGAGACTCTACCTACAGTGCACTAGATTTGGGAAAGAGGCCAATCTGAATCCTCAATCTCTAGCTTCGAGTGCCCAGCCTTAGGCTTAGGATTCCTCATGATCCACAGCCCACAATCCCCATCAACTCAGTCAGGAGACCACATTTCCACTCTCATCTGCCCTGCTTGATCACTATACCCTACAGTCTCAGAGTCTAGGATTTCTTGGTTTCTGCCTCAACTGGGAGTGGGGGGACCTGTATGCTGGTATGAATCTTTTTGAAATAATATGACAATATGAAGCAATAGCCAGAATCTGACTCCTGATAATATATCCTTAGAAGCAACAGAGCAATGTTATCTGTGACAGCACAATATTGAAAAACACCCTAAGTGTCCAACAATGCGGTAAGAGTTAAATGTTCACAGGTTAATTTTCTAAAAAACTATTTTCTTAGAAATCTGATAAAAGGGGAATTTCAGCTATGTGACAAAGCAACAATGTGTTAAATATAACCGATGCTTATTACCCTGCATCTGGACTGTGAGATTCTTAAAACTGGATGTGTTCCTGGGAAGGTAGAGAAGCTTCTGGGCCATCCATCTGTTTGGTCTCATTCTCTCACATCTCAGCCCTGGAACTACTGTGAGGACTCCTACGATACCACTCTGCTGTTTCCTGCCCTGTATACTTCTAGATGAACTTGTTAGCAGGTGTGGCCAACTGTATCACATGAGTTTGACTGTCTAGTCCAGGGGTTGACAAACTTTTTATGGAAAGGACCAGATAGTAAGTATTTTGAGTTTTGTGGCCCAAATAGTCTCTGCCACAAATATTCAACTCTATTATTGTTATACTGCAGAAACAGTACATACATAAACAAATGAGTGTGACTGTGTTCCAGTAAAAAACTTTTTTTATTTTATAAAAATAGGAAGTAGGCCAATTTGGTCCACAGGACAGCTTGCCAACTCCTAGACTCCCTAAACATAAGACCACTCAGGTAGAGTGGACATTCCAATAAACAGTACTTTCATGGACAAGGAAAATGACTCTGTTAGGATGATGGAGTTATAAGTAACTGGCTATAATCATTATTACTTACCTTTGTGATACTTTTCCATTAAAATATAGGTTCTTGGAAAATATAACCAATGATTTGGGACTCTAACTCTATATATCCAGACATTCCTTTCTCTTTGCCAGCACAAATCATGGAGGGCCAACCTTCCCATTCCCCAAAGTCCAAGTCTCCTACTATCCTGGATGCCATGTCCCCCTTGTTAATACTCAGGACTTGGCTCTAGGAAGAAAAGTATATCACATCAGCCCCTCCTCCCCAAACACAAGCGAAAACAAAAGCAAAGAGTACTTACTTGAATAATAAATTGAGACCAAAGAGGGTAAACATGACAGCCATGTAGCCAACAATGCCAGTGGCATAGCTGATTTTATAGATCAACAGGAACCACTTATAAACCAACCTGGAGAAAGGAGAGAAAATTAGCAAAGCTGACATGGCAACTCTGGCCTAGGAGCCTCTGGATTACCAGAATCTCTTACTCTTACATTACTGGGGACATCAGGTTATTTGCTTAGGACTTACTGAGCAACTTTAGTTACTGTCCAGAGCTGGTCACTCCCTTAATTGCAGAAATACCTCTCCATACCAGGGAGCTAATGCTTTAGATTTTCCCAGTCCCAGACCAAGGAAAGAAAAGAGAGCCTTAAAAGAAGGTTTTAGCCTCAAACAAAAAAAAGCATAGCTGACCACAGACAGCTATGTCCTCTCAAATTCAGATCAGCTGGATAAAGAAGTGAAAATTAGTAACTACAGCTATGCTTAGATGGGAACAGATGGTGAAGGTCAGCTGTTCATTAGGAAAGAGAATTCAAGGGAAGATGAAAAAGAGGTAAAATCAGCTATAGGCTTTCCCCCTACTTTAAAAAAAAAAAATTATTTATTTAAGTAATCTCTATACCTGACATGGGGCTCAAACTCTTGACCCTGAGATCAAGAATTTCACAGTCTTCCGACTGAGCCAGCCAGGTGCCCCAGGCTTTTCCTACTGGGCATGGTTAACCTGAATACTGCTTTGCTCCTATCTACAGGCCAATAATGAATTAGTGTCTAATGAATTTGCTTCCGAAATGATTTTCTTTCTGGAGAAGAAGGGATAAGAAAGGAGACACTCAAAGAATACCTTTGAATGGATTTGTGTGATGGTGGTGGTAGTAGGGTCATACAAAGCTCTTGAAGGAGGAGCAATGCTCTCCAAAATCCAAAGAAAAGCAGTGTGAAATGTGGTTGGTTGACCCCAGCCAGGTTCAGAGAGGAAAGATAATTCCCTGAATGCATCAGAGCCTTTTAAATGCTATGCAGGTCCTTGATATCAGCAACGACTACTCTATTTGTGGTGAAAGCATATGAGAAATTCACTTGAATAAACAGCTCAAGCCTGTCTGGCTCCTGTGACCACATTACCACCAACCTTGCTGGGCTGCAGGGAGGAAGCTCAAGGTCCCTACCTATGAGTCCCGTTGTGGCTAAGCAAGCAGTGATGAGTTCTCAGACAAGGGAAAGGCCTCAAACATTTTGTAGTGCCTGCCCTCGGAAACCACACAATGCTCCATTATCCAGAGCTTGTACTCATCAGATATGAGTGAGATGGTGGAAAGGATGTGGAATTTTAGGCAGTATCTGGATTAAGTGAGTTTTATTAGCTGGGTAATTCCAGGTAAATCAAATCACCACTCTTAAGGTAAGTTTACTTATTTGTAAAATGGGGAAACCATGATACCTTCCTCAATGGATTGTACAGAGCCCATTCCTGGTGTATATAACACATGCTCAATAAATGCTGCATGACTCAGGATGGATGTTTTAAGAAAGTGCTTTGAAATTATAAAACATTATCAAATGTTAGTTATTATCATCAAAAACTTCCCATGTCATAGACATATTTTCAGTCATTTTACCTACAAGTTGATATTGTTACTTACTAACTCTTAAAGTATATTTTTACACCTTTTCTTCATAGTACCCTTTATGAGGTACCAATTATTGTCACATTTCTAGGGATAAAAAATTCAAGGCTCAGAAAGGTGAAGCCATACAGGTCATATAATTTACAACTGGCAGGGCTGTTTCCAATCCACATCCACCTGGTTCCAGAGTCTCCGTCTTCTGTCATAGCCCTTAATGTAAACTACCATAGCCAGAAAGAGACTTTGGATCACCAACTTCACCTTGAAGATAAATTTTACTGTGTACAAGGAAACTCACAAGGCCAAAATAAGGTTTGCAGTGAAATGGCATAAAATGCATGGGGAAAAGAGCAACTTGCAACTTGGAAGACTTTGGTTCTGGTAGGTACAACTTTGAGGCTGGCTAGTTCTTCTGCTAGGCTCTCCTGGACCTGTACATATGTCTCTCACAGCACTTACCAACTGCACTGAAACAGCTGCTTTCTTGTCCATCTCCTCCATTAAACCGAGCATTCCTTGAGGGCAGGGACCATGTCTTATCCAGTTCTGTATCCCCAGCGCTCAGCACAGGGCCTGACACATAGCAGGTGCTTGTTGAATGAATGAATGAGAAAATCTCTCTTTCTGTCAAGTACGGATATTAAATGACCTCACAAGCTGGTTGGGAGGATCAAACTAGAAATGCATTTGGATAAAACACAAAGAATAATACAGGCAGGGGCTGCTCTGTGACCAAAGAAGGAAATATTATTTGTTGAAAAATTGCAAATTTACTGAGATTCATTCATTCAACAAAAATTTACAGAGTAGGCTACTATGTGCCAGGCCCTGTGGTAGGGCCTGGATATACAGGGACAAACAAAATACATGTGGTTCCCGATCTCACAGTTATAGTTTAGTGGGGGAGATAGATATTCAAGATTTTGTGATATAGGGACGCCTGGGTGGCTCAGCAGTTTAGCGCCTGCCTTCAGCCCAAGGTGTGATCCCGGAGTTCCAGGATCAAGTCCCACATTAGGCTCCTGCATGAAACCTGCTTCTCCCTCTGCCTGTGTCTCTGCCTGTGTGTGTGTGTGTGTGTGTATGTGTCTCATGAATAAATAAATAAATAAAATCCTTATAAATAAATAAATAAATAAATAAATAAATAAATAAATAAATAAATAAATAATAAAATCTTTTTAAAAAAGACTTTGTGATATGTTCTGTGTTGGAAAACTATAGGGCCTATGAAAGAATATAACAGAAAATCTAATTTAGAGATCAGAGAAGGGTTCATAAAAGAAAACAACACTTAAAATGAGGCCACAATGATCACCAGAATTTGCTTACTTTTAATATAGACCTTGATACAAACTCTAAGGCAAGCTATAGGGAAATATTTTGGGGGTTTTAATCTGTGAAGGTGAGTGGGGAGTTCTCCCAATCAGCTTGTTTTGGTGGGGCCCCATGCCAAATAATCTTGGCAAACATATTTTGTTTTTTTGTTTTACAAATTATTACAATTACAATTTTTTCAACCTAAACCCACCCCAATCCCATGCATTCCAACCCATTTGCTTCAGGAAACCTAGCTCTTCCCCACTACCTAAACTCTCACCTTGGGGTTGTCTGTACTAGTGGTTTTCGGGTGGCTCGGAAGGTGACAAAAGCTGTGACAGCAGAGAAGAAGATCCAGATCACTAGGAACCTCCACCAGTGCAGCTTCACTGTGAAATAGAGGGGAACAACCCACATCTGAAAGAGGGTCACCATCTGAAACACAAACACAAGCACAAGCACTTCAGCTCTAGCCAGCTCCCTCCGCGTTCTATCCACAAGTCCAAAGTGTATCTTGTGCCTGATCTTCTCCTCAATTTCCAATTTTGGACAGAGGCACCTCCTAGTGATCTTAGAAACCTAGGACCATGCCTGACACCTCCCTTTCATTCCTTACCTATCTGTTGTATATATTCTTCCCTTTCCATGTGAGCCCTTGCTATCCCTTGCCTGGCTCACTCCAATGACCTCTTTGTTAAGTCTCCCTACATCCAGAGTCTCCCTCTCCAATCTATCCTTCCCAAAAGCACTAGAATGGTATCTCTAACATAGAGTCTTGAACATGTCATTCCCCCGCTTACAACCCTCCAGTGGTCCCCAGCATATAGGCAGTCAAATCCCCTACAACGTGGCCCCAAACTACTGTTTCAAGAGTAACCTTCTGCTACTCTCCATGCTAGTCAGGCTGTCCGCCTCAGGCTAAAACATCTTTTTCACCACCTGCCTTTCTGCCTGATAATATCATAACCAAGACACATGAAGCCTTCAATTTCCTTTCCAGGCAGAATGAGTCGTGACTTTCTAGTGCTCCAAAAGCACTTTCTTTTCTACCATCATTAGAGTGCTTATCTAAGCATAATTCAGATTCATTCTCATTCTGAATTTAAGCTCCTTGAGAGCAGTGACTAGGCCATTTCCTATGTGCTAGGAAATGGTCTAGCAGATGACAGATCCTCAGTAAACTTAGATATGTGAGAAGAAAGTAAAACTAGAACCCCAAAGGGAGGCCTGTTTCTACTGTAAAGAGTGTCTCAGAACTCAGACTTCAGACTCAGCTGAAGAGTTCCAAATGTACAAAATGATTCTGTCAGAAGTTTGGGCTAACCACCAGTCCTCTACTCCCTGGTGCCTCCTAACTCCCTCCACCAGCCATCCCACTTTACCTAGATGTCACTCTGTATGGGTGAGGAGCAGGTGTAAAAAAAAAAGTAGCACTTAATAGAGGCTTTCTTCCTGATGTCATCAAATGAAATTAAAGACATTTAAAAGGGGCTGGGCATGGGGACGAGTTATAGAGGAAAACAGCAGCTAGTTTTCTGAAGTTCCATAGTGGAGAAAGCTTTTGAGAAAGTATTTATTTCAGAATTTCTAAACCAGTGCTACCTAAAAAACATATAATGGAAGTCACATATGTAATTTTAAGTTTTCTAGTAGTGACATTTAAAAAAGTAAAAAGAAACGTTGATATGAATTTTTAAAAAGATTTTATATATTTGAGAGAGAGACAGCAAGAGAGAGCATGAGCAGGGGGAGGGGCAAAGGGAAAGGGAGAAGCAGAGTCTCTGATGACTAGGGAACCTGACACAGAACTCGATCCTAGGACGCTAGGATCATGACTCAAGCAGAAGGCAGACACATAACCGACTAAGCCACCCAGGTGCCCTGAAATTATTTTTTTTCCCTGAAATCATTTTTTTAAAGATTTTATTTATCTGAGGGGGGGGGAGAGCGTGCATGCAAGCATGGGGTAAAACAAAGGGACAGGGACAAGTAGACTCCATGCTGAGCATGAACCCCAATGTGGGACTTGAGCTCACAACCCTCAGATTGTGATCTGAGCTGAAATCAAGAGTCAGATGCTCAACCAACTGAGCCACGTAGGCACCCCTAGATAAGACTAATTTTAATAATATGTTATTATTTTAATTTAAAATTTTAATTAAATTAAAATTAATTTAATTTTAATAATATTTTTTATTTTACCAATATATCCAAAATAATATCAATCTAACATTTTCTCATTATTAAAATTATTTATTAATCATTTTACTTTGGTTTTGAAATATTTTACTTCGGCTTTGAAATCTGATGTGTACTTTATGGCATATGTTAAGAAAGACTAGTTTTTTTTTTTTTTTTGGCTAGTTACATTTTAAGTGTTCAATAGCCATATGGTAATAGTGACTCCCATATTGGGACAGTGCAGCTAGAGCATCTTTTTAGCATTTAGTTGTTTCCTGAGGCTTCTAATAGACTGCTCTGTGGCAAGAAAAAACCTTAGTGTTTTAGTGTTATTTTGTGTAAGAGAAAAAAAAAAGAGGTATGACAGGAGAATGGTGACAAGATTCTACTTTGCTTGAGAGCTTACAAATCTATGTGCCTCTTGGCAGGATGAGCACCGGGTGTTATGCTATATGTTGGCAAACTGAACTCCAAAACAACAACAACAACAAAAGCAAATCTGTGTGCCCTCTGGTACTGGCTAATGGTCAGTTAACAGTGTAGTCTCAGTACCCACTCTACTGTACAGGAACCTTCAAGTGACTCTCTGAATGAAACATCCTAAAATATTCTGGCCTTATATGAAAAGTGTGGAACCACCAGGATGTACTAACAATGTCTATACCCAAAGAACATTCCAGGGCACATTCTACGAGATGGGAGGAGACCAGGAAAGGACATCACATCAAACCACACATTAAACTAGGGAATAAAAGTGATGCATGGGTGGCTCAGTTGGTTAAGTGTCCAACTCTTGATTTCAGCTCAGGTCAGGATCTCAGGGTTGTGAGATCAAGCCCTCATGTCAGCATCGTGCTCAGTGGGGAGTCTGAGATTCTCTCTCTCTCTCTCAATAAATAATTTTTTTTTTCAAAATCTTTAAAAAAAATACTGTAGGGACACCTGGGTGGCTCAGCAGTTAACCATCTGCCTTTGGCTCAGGGCGTGATCCTGGAGTCCCAGGATTGAGTCCCACATCAGGCTCCCTGCATGGAGCCTGCTTCTCCCTCTGCCTATGTCTCTGCCTCTGTGTGTGTGTGTCTCTCTCTTACAAATATATAAATAAAATCTTAAAAAAATAAAAATAAAAAAATACTGTAAACTAGGGAATAAGACAACCAGAATCCTGATATTCAAAGGGAGTAAATAAATGGTGGTAGGATGTAGAGAAAAGAGCTGCAGGGTCTTTAGCCTTCATATTGTTTGCTTTTACAGGCTCATAGGGATATTTACAAAACAGGAGGCCCAGAGACTAGAGAAGAATTGAATTACAGAATGTGGTTACATTTGTCTTCTCTGAGAAAAAAAAAACAAACAAACAGGAATTTCTGGTCTTCTTCCAGCTTTTCCAAAAACTTGGCTGTTGCAAAAAATCCAGCCTGTCCCCTACCAGCCTTTTGCCCACTCCTCACCAATCATCAATGGCATGTTCTGAGGGGGAATCTAGTAAAGATAATTTTCTCTACATGAGCTGTAGCTCTGCCTATTTTGGGTGCAGAAAGAGGCAAAGGACCTGGATTCTATTTTGGGTTGAACAAAGGCATAATTGGGAATAAGTCTAGGCATCAGTGTGATAGGAATGAAAAAATTTTGCCTTACTTTGTAACTCTGAGGCTTAAAACCTTAAGGGTGTAAAGCTACTCAACTCACATCATGAAAGAAAGAGAGAAAAAAAAGGAAAGGAAGAAGGAAAGGAAAGAGGGAGCAATTTAGGGACAGAATTAGGTTTTTTTTTTAATTTTTATTTATTCATGATAGACACAGAGAGAGAGGCAGAGACACAGGCAGAGGGAGAAGCAGGCTCCATGCCAGGAGCCTGATGCGGGACTCGATCCCGGGACTACAGGATTGCGCCCTAGGCCAAAGGCAGGTGCGAAACCACTGAGCCACCCAGGGATCCCCATAAGAATTAGGTTTTTTTAAACCAGACAGCCAAGTAGATGCCCCAAACACCTGGGTTCTAATTCTGTCTGCTTCCAACTCACTGGATCACCCTAAGGAGGTCCTTCCTCCTTGAGGGAAAGGTTTGGCTTGATTTTTCAAGCCCTTCAAGTTCTAACATACCAAAGCTCTATTAAGTAGCCTTGTATCTCAGATTTCTGGGGAGAGTGAAGGCAGTGTTCATTCACTCATACATCAAGTATTTATTTTGCAACTAATAGAGAAAAGAATGCAAAATAAACATGACCCTTAGTCCTTGTCCTTCCTCAAGAACCTAACAGACAAGCATCAGGAGAAAAATATACACCAAACCTTTAACTTAATGATTCTATTAATCTTTAGATGCTTTTTAAAACACTATTTTGTTTTAAAGATTTTTTTTTAGGTTGGCTCCAAGCCCAGCATGGAGCCCAATATGGGGTTGACCTCATGACCCTAAGATCAAGACCTGAGCTGAGATCAAGAGTCAGACGCTTAACCTATTAAGCCATCCAGGCACCTCTAAAGATTTTTAAGTAATTTCTACATCCACTGTGGGGCTCAAACCCATAACCCCATGATTGAGAGTTACATGCTCCATTGAATGAGCCATCCATGTGCGCCTCTTTAGACACTTTTTAGAAATCCAAATGGAGGCCAGCCCCGGTGGCGCAGCGGTTTAGCGCCACCTGCAGCCCAAGGTGTGATCCTGGAGATCCGGGATAGAGTCCCACGTCCGACTCCCTGCGTGGAGCCTGCTTCTCCCTCTGCCTGTGTCTCTGGCCTTTCTCTCTCTCTCTCTGTCTCTCATGAATAAATAGATAGAATCTTTAAAAAAAAAAAAAAAGAAAGAAATTCAAATAGAAATCATTAAAGAACGAATAAACAAAGTAGAATGACATAGTGAAATGGAGATCTAGATATGAATCCCAATATAGCTATTTACTGTATTACCTTAGGTAAGTCATTTACTCCTGATAAGCCTACATTTTCTGAACTGTAAAATGGGGTTAAGAGCATCTACTCTCAAAAAATTGTATACGGATCCCTGGGTGGCGCAGCGGTTTGGCGCCTGCCTTTGGCCCAGGGCGCGATCCTGGAGACCTGGGATCGAATCCCACATCGGGCTCCCGGTGCATGGAGCCTGCTTCTCCCTCTGCCTATGTCTCTGCCTCTCTCTCTTTCTCTCTCTGTGACTATCATAAATAAATAAAAAATTAAAAAAAAATTAAAAAAAATTGTATAGAATAAGTAATTAATGCATGGAAAGCTCTTGGAACAATGCCTAACAAGGT